AGCAACCATATGTCAATTGAGCCATCTGAACTGTAGGAGAGCATCTTCTTTGCCTATACTAACTGCAAGGTAAAGCATGTTTGCTTAAACCTCTTTCCCCGAGATTCACAGTACACTAGAATTTCCCACAAGCAGGGCCAGTGAAACACATACAAAAGCCAGCTGCGACAGCACAGGCATAAGGTGCCCACTTGTCACCCCATGTAACTTCATTGCGGGTCTGTGCCCTAGAAGTCAAGCAACCAGGCTAAATCTTGGTAGAAGTACAGCACCAGCAGCAGCAAGACTAGACTTACCTGCAGAAATCTAGATCTTCTAACAAAACTCCTGAAGTCTTATTTGGGAAATCTAAAACAGACTTCAACTTTGTTTTCAAAGTGTGACCTTTTCAATGGAGGTTTATTCCTCACTATTGAAATCAAAATTGGGAGTTGCTTAGTTGTCAACCTTCACAATCACTGTACTTCTTGTGGAGAAACTGCAGCTTCTATTAGAAGAACTACTGATACATGAGACCTAATGTATTTAAGAAAAGAATATAACAACCTTTCTAGAAAGCACATCATCTGATAACCACACAAACCCCATTTTTCATGGCTTGCTCTGGTCTGGCGTGTTCAAGAAGAGTGATTTCCAGCTGGGTTTTAAAAGGCATCAGGAGCTCCACATATCAAACCAACTGCTCCTGAAACTGCCAGTGCTTGGGTTTTTTTTTTTTCTTCCTCAGATGGGTTAAGAGGTCTTAAACTGGACACACAATAATCCAGCCCTAAGCAGTTGTTATTTAAAACCCATGTTTAGAACAAAGGCTCTAAAGTAGCTGGATCTATCTGCTTACCACTTGCCAAAAGATCAGTAAGGCTTTTGGGATACCTAAAGGAAATTTCCTTGTGCATAATGAAAACATTTGTGGCAGCGGGAAGCACTGCTGCCTGCTCACCAGCTCAGCAGAAGACACAGCCAATGGTGGAAACACAAAAGGACACTTGGCAAAAGCAATCGATGACAAGCCTAAAAAAAAGGCAGTCTCATGGCATTGCCCGGTATTAGGAGCTGCAATTTCTCCACAAGGAATCAAACGCAGCTGACAATACTCACTTCTGCAAGTTCTGGGCTTCAGCGCATGATGCAAGTGGAAAGTGAGTCTTTTAAGAGACTAGAGACTGATGAGTAGATGTAAAGGGGAACTAGTCTTGGGTAACGGAGCTATTATGGAAATAGTTATTATGTCTGCTGTACACCTGAATACTGTCACATGAATATCAGGTACACAAGATACTCGAATAGCAGAACATCAGGTTCCAGCAATTTTAACCCCTTCTTACTTCGTCATTAACAATGTGATTTATGACCAGATTGAACATCAGACAACACATGATACTGTTAAAATAAAAATTTAAAAATAATTTCTGTGCATTTTTAAATACACTAAGAGAAGCCAGGCTCGATGCTGCCATCCAAGGAGCTGCACAGGCACATAGCCTAAGGGGACCGACCTTTCTGACACCTGCCTTTCCCAACACAGGCAAGTTCTCCTTTGGCCTCTTTCACCAATTAAAAGTCAGATCCTGGCTCAGAGAAGAGGTGCTCAGCCCCTGGAGTTAAGTGGTGAGTCATGGTGGCAGTTAAATATGCCCAGCACCTCTAATGACTCACAGGTCAGGTGAGAGGAGCAAAATGATGGGGAGCAGCAATTCTCATTTGCATGTGTATTTTACACCTTCTTGGTTCATTGTCCTCAGGAAAAGAGCAAAAGCAGCCACAATCAACATTTCAGCTTGATGGGAACAACTCCCAGAGAAAGATGTATTTCTCTAGTGTACAAAATGAAAAAATCTGTCTTATAGTGATTTTTTAGCAGTAATTACAAATCTCCTCCTAAAGAAGGGAAGCTTATCACCAAGTCCACAACCTTGCTTGATAGGCATCCAGAACTGCACTGAAATCTCCTAAGTGGTGTTCTCAGCAGATAAAAATTAAAACTTCTCAGTCGTGTTGCACACTCTCTACAAAACAAAGATCCCCTCTGGCTCTGCTATTCTTTACTCATTCCTTGGCCGACTTATTTCTCAAGCATACCAAAGCACCTCAAGCAAAGACTTCTGTCTGAATAGTCTAAAAAGTGTTTACTACCTCAGTAGGGAGGTGCTACAGAAACATTAAACACCAGCAACACTTTCTCAGGGAATTAATTTCCTTCCTCCACTCACAACAGTTGCTATGAAAGCCTAGCAGTTTCTCTGTTTATCTTTTTTAAAAATCACACTTTTGGTTGGTGAGTTCATGTATGTAAATACAGTCACTTCTACACTTGCGTCCTGTTCACGTATCCATAAAAACCAAAATCTTAACTCACTTTAGGTCAACTCACACAAAAAGGATCTCCTACCACTTTATAAATATAAGTATAAAGGGAGTTCTTCACACCCAAGTCAGCTGCCCAGTTAACCTGGACGCAATTTAAAGCAGCAACCTATCTTAGATGCTCTGAGCCAACCCGTGAAGATCCTGCTCTCTCCACTGACTATAAAGCCACAGTTTCAGAATTACGTATTCGGCAGCAGCTGGCTAGAGCAGTGCCCCACTTCCCCGAGACAGATCACTCCCAGTCCCCTATCATTTCTCTCATACAGGCACTGCTGGGTTTGCAGCTCTGTGATTTACCACGAGGCTGGATTTACCTCAAGACCCTGTATCTGCAAGAAAGCCAGCAGCCAACTCAGAATATCAGCTGGAGTCCAAGGGCCAACACAGTTTGAGGACTAATTTCTTTAGTCAGACTTGCAGTGCTGGTTCCTGGTGAGCAACAGTATATACACCCACGGCAGGCTACGGTCGTACTGTACTGGTTGAAACTAGACAGAATCACATCCTTTTTATCAGATTAACTGGGACCAGAAGCTGCAGTGGGCTGATCAAGACAAAGTATTATAGGAAGAAAATTAAAAATTATGTCAAGAGGAGGATGCCAGATTGATGAGCCCTTCAGTGCTGCGCAATTCAGAACGTATAGGTCAGCACATCACTATCACTGGAAAGACAGCATTGTTCACGGAAGCAGAGCTTAAGTTTAGGACAAAGTAAAGAAATGACTGGACAAAAGGGGAAAAAACTGCATTCACTGTTAGGTGAACTGTAGCCTACACAGATAGATGCTCCACTGGCTTAATCAAAGGTCATGCTCAGAAGGACTTTTTAAAAAGTATCCTGGCTGAAGGTCTTTTTTTCCCATTAGGGAAGAAAAATTGCAAGGCTACCATAATCCCATCCAAAGTAAGGGGTGAGAGACACCAGATCCCAGTTTACTGCTGAATGCAGTGCCCACAATATAAAACAAGTAAAATACTGTCAGTATTCCCCATGTAGCAGGGCCTCTGTTGATGGAAGTAGTGAGGGAGAAGGGCTGAATCCCCACGTACAAAGAGAAATAAATTCAACCTTGAATGTTTACTTCGAGTGTCATTGACCATCTCAAAACAGTACTGCAGTGACACAGTACAACAGCTAAATGCAAGAAGCACAGAAAATAAAAGGTCTGATTCATCTTGAACCCATTTTTCTTGCCTCTAGAATATTTAGGAAGTGCAACTTGAATAACTCCCACATACCTTCATTTACTAAGCATTTAACATGAATTTTACGTTAAAAATATAAACCTTTATTTATCTGCTGGAAAAAACCACACGTTGTTAGTGCAAGTTTTCTCACATTGCTCAATCAGCGTGCTTGCAAGGCAGTACACTGACTTCAGAGTCACTTGGTTTTTGCATGCACTTAAAATTACTTGGTCACACAGTCTGTGTCATAAATAGTTTCCTCAATAATCTGCGGAGCAAAGGACAGGCTACTCAAAAAACAATTTTAGGTCCAATAAAATTAGCTAGACACCTGCAGCAGAAAAAGTATAGAATAACCACCCGACATATGTATAAGGACAGCACTAATTTGAATAGACAACCTGCAAACACCACCCTTCTTCCATAATGAGCTGTGTCCTTCAGTGCTCACAACCAGGGCTCTAGAGCAAAAGAAAAGTAATTCTTTTCCCAACTTGTTCATTATTTTATCTTGATAAAATCCAATTGGAAAGAGCAGCATAGCACTTTTTGTCTGGTCTTTGAATGCCCAGGGAAAAAAAACCAAGGAAAACCAGCAGAAGTGTTTGCTGCCCTCAAGAGGAAAACCAAATGAAATTACACCTTTGTAACACGAAGGTAGACATAAAACTAGGCAAAGACTAGTAGTCCTACTCAGTTTTAAAACCGTTTTCTTTAGTAGATGATAATGGTATCAAGGAAAATCCACTGCACTGAATGACGACAGGGTAGCAAACTAAAACTGTCAGTAGGGATGCTCACCTAGTTTTAACAGCTCCAAAACATCAAATCTCTCATTTTTCTTCTCAGTTTTATACTGCAAAATGCACTGAAAAGTTATGTATTTAATGACCCAAAGCACACATAAATAAATCAGCCTCTGATTTTTCCATTCATCAACTGTAAAATGAGAAGAGCATCTCCTTGTCACACCAAAATACTGCAAGGGTAACTGCATTTGAGATTGCAAGGGGCTCGGAGCTCCTGAGCACTGACGCTCTTGGGGGTGAGTCATCCCTTACGGGAGCTGACGTCTGGCCTCTCTCCAAGGCAGGATCAGTTCCCCTTCCCAGCTAAACGAAATAAATCCCATGGCAATGTGATTCATCACAACTAAAAATCAAGGTGATGAGGCATAAAAGGTAGAAGTCCAGATGGAATGCCAAGAAATTAGAAGCTTAGCATTTCCTACATGAGAAAACAGATAAACCACAGCCCTATCTTCTGCTGGTGCTATGCAGTACACAGAGCAATGCTGCAAGTTGAGCTATAAATATTCTGTGCCTAAATACATATCTGGATAAACACTGTCTTTCAAAAAAACCTTTTGTCTTCCGTATTTTTTCTTACAATAGTTAAAGAACACTTTTAAACAATTACACTAAGGAAAACCAAGATGCTTACTTGACAGCCTCTGCTACATTATTGGAAGTGTGACCTGACAAGGCATCGTGAAGGTTTCTGATGAAGTAATCTCTGTAGTCTTCAGGCAGGGCCATAAATGTTCCACCCATCACAATAAACTCTACTTTATCCACGCTGTGGCCCAACTGCTTCAGCTGTAAAATTAAAAGTACCAGGAAAAAGTTACCAATCAGGGACTAAATCTAAAAGAGTTCTCTGAAAACCCTGACATTCTTACAATGCATTTCCTTCTTTAGTTGTCATATCTTTTATGAAAGACAAACCATTAATACTTTTGTACAGATTTCTTACAACCCCCCCCCAAAAAAACTCAAAAGTTAATTTTTCTACTGCAAGAACACAACACAGATATTGAGCCCAGCACATAGGTTTTCTTGACAAAGCAGAATTATTTGAGCCTAGCATCTTGCTGATGGAGTTACACTGGGTCCAGTTTGAAGCCAGCTTAGATATGGCCAGTAGGAAAAGCTTCCTTGCATCTGCTTCAGAGAACTAACTTTCCTTACAAACTTGTGGGAGAAAAGGACTACAATGAATCCATGGAGAATTTTCCAATGGATTTGGAGATAAACAGGAAACCAGTCAAAGCAGAACAGGATTGAGAAACTCTTCAAATCTTCTAACTCTCCAGCCAAGACCCCCAAAAAATCATTTTGGTAGGAATGCCACTATTTGAGTACTACATTCTCCATGTAAGTAATTATCAAGAACTAGCAACTGTCACAGAAGTACAGTACAATTTTGTTGTAATAGGATCTCCTATTAGTAATCAGGTATTCTTCAGAACAGATAAGATCTTATACAAGGTTCAAAACTTGTCATTTATCTAATAGAAATGACAGTTAGACAATTAGAAGGTCTATAAATAATATTTCCATGGGGATCAAGTCAGGCTAAGGTAGAATTACAGAATCATGAAAAAGCAGAGGTTGGAAGGGACCTCTGGAGATCACCTAGTCCAATCTCTCCTCTCAAAGCAGCATCAGCTACAGCAGTTTGTTCAGCGCTGTGTCCAAACAGGCTTTGAGTGTCTCAAGGCATGGAGACTGCACAACCTCTCTGGGCAACCTGGTCCGGTGCTGGGTCACCCTCAGTTAAAAACTGTTTCCTGATGTTCAAATGGAATCTCTCGTGTTTCAATTTTCTCCCATTGCATCATGTCCTGCTGTGTCACTGGGCACCACTGAGAAGAGCCTGGCTCTGTCTTCTTTACAGCCTACCACCATGTATTATACACATTTTAAGATTCCCCCAAGCCTTCTCTTCCCCAGCTTAAACAGTCTTGGCGCTCTCAGCATCTTTTCAGATGCTCCAGTCCCTTCAACATCTCAGTGGCCTTGTGCTAGACTTGCTCCAGTATGTTCATGTCTGTCTGCTTCTAGGGAGCCCAGAACTGGACACAGCTCTCCAGGTGGAGCCTCAGCAGTGCTGAGGTGAGAGGAAGGATCTCCTCCCTTGATGTGTTGGCAACACTCCTCCTAATGCAGCCCAGGAGGCTGCTGGTCTTTGTGTGAAGGGCACAATGCTGCTCATGGTCAACTTGGTGTCCACCAGTAGCCCCAGGTCCTTTTCTGTCAAGCTGCTTTCCAGTTGGCTGGCCCCCAGCACGTACTGGTGCCTGGGGTTGTTCCTTCCCAGAGGCAAGACTTGGCATTTCCCTCTGTTGAACTTCAAGAGGTTCCTGCCAGCCCATTTCTCCAGCCTGTCCAGGTGTCTCTGAATGGCAGCACAACCCTCTGGTCTATCATCCACTCCTCCCAAATCTGCTTCATCTACAAACTTGCTGACAGTGTGCTGTCCCAACATGCACGCCATTAACACAGAGGTTAAACACTATTGGCCCCAATATTGACAGCTGGGTTTTATCATTAGACTGGCCTCCAGCTGGACTGAGTACTGCTGATCACAACCCTTTCAGCCCACCAGTTCAGGCAATTAAAAGCATTCGCATTATTTTCATCACAACCACAATGCATCCCCCTTGCACTGTAAAAATTTACCTGTTCCACTCTGTGTCTTGTCTGGAGATAGGGGTCATATCTAGCCCGAATGGCCCTCATGGACGTTGGCTAAAAAACACAAGGATGCTGATTTTGTGAACTTTTTTTTTAAAGAACACAGTGAAAAAGAACAAAAGACAACTTTTAGCATTGAAACAGATGCTGAAGTTTTCAAACCCTAATTGACCCTAAAGCCTTCAAAGCCACAACCAAAGAGTCCATCCAACTGTAAATATGAATTTGGCTCCTTAAATTTTTTTTAAATTGTAACAAAACACATTTTCGTCCTGAAATGGTAACATGACGTAAAAAGAATGACACAATTTTTCAAATTTTCAGTGCATTACAACAGGATGAAGAATCTCTGTAGCGAGTCACAAAAAATATTGCAAAAAACACAAATTGAAATACCACTTTTTCTGTCCCGTTCATTTTAGTTTCTCTTCACTTGCCCAAGTTATCCAAGCAGCGTCCTCTAGAGTTGAGTCTAAACTTCAAATATTCTTTATAAGCTAAACATATTCTTTCAACTGAAATCCCTAACAACTTTTTATATTAGTAGCTGATGTAAGCCTATTAATAATACTCCAAGATAAGGTTTTCAAGTATCTTGTGTATCCCAGATTCATTTGGTATTTCACATCTGTTGTATTAAAAGCTCTAAAGGATGAGGACTCTTTTAATCATGCACAACTCCCACATGCTGTTAGTACTAAACAAATGAATACAACATATCCAAAGCAACACAAATTATAAAGCGGTAACATATACACAGGATTTTCCTACTTTGCACTAAGAGGACAAGCTTCAGGTCACTGAGAAGTAGATAACAGACAAACTCCATACTAAAAGGATGCTGCATCACTGTTTATCAAATTAATCCAGTTTGTATTTTACCTCATTTTGCTACTTTACAGCTGTACCATAGTTATGAGTTGTTTTGTTAAAATCAGTCACAATAATTTAGTCACAATGAGATCTTCTGCTGTTAAACTTTCTCCAGACAACAGGACAGCACTACTTTGGAAATACATATATTTAGTGAGATATCACTGCAGACACAGAGACATAAAACGGCATGAATGTAACTTCAGAAGCATGGACAACTAAATAATGGGCTTTTTTCCAGAGCTTGACCTTTGCTGATCCTCTGGGTCCTGTAGGTTGGACAGGACTGAAAGCAAGTCCAGTTAGGACAGAATGCTCAGGGCTGTGTCCAGTCACTGACTATCAAAACCTCTCTAGATCCCTACTCAAGTGTTTGACAACTGTCACATTAAAACATTCTTTTCTTATATTAAGGCACAATTTTCTGCATTCTAACTCATGTTTGTTGCCTCCCATCTTTCCACTGGGCACCTCTTAGGAGGAGTCTGGCTCTGCTTTCTCTGTACCCTTCCCTTAGAACCATATTAAGCCATGAGTAAAACTGTATGTTTCTGCAGGACTGTTTAGTTAGGAAAACTGATGCAGATTGATAACTGCTGTAGGAATCACAGCTAGCATTCATTTCAACAAACTGCATGCAGCAGTGTCCCACGGGACATGTCACCTTCAGCTGCTCTTACTCACTCATCGCTTTCCACAGCTGGAAATTCAGATTAACAGCTGTTCCCACACCAGCAAGTCATGGGGTACAGCCACAATGCTGCACTTGCCCTGCTCAGAATCACAGGCTGCTCACTCCTGCTCTACAGCTTATTGCATGTATAACAGTATAAACAGCAGCAAGGTAGGGAGAAAGAAACAACTGCTACAGTAATTGAGAAGAATTTCCAGTCCTATAGCTGAGCTGCTTTAGATCTCGAAGTTTATAAAGTCTTCTTTTGTTTTGTATTCTTGCAACATGAGTGAATTTGTAGAAATAGAGAGCAGCTTAACCCAAGTTTATAGAGAGTGCAGACAATGCATTATGGCAGAAAAAAGTAATACCTCATATCCAGTGTAAGACTGTGTTGAATATTCAAAATCAGAATCGGGTCCACCTGGGCAGTATCTGCAAATATAAAAAGACAGAAAATGGGCATCAAACTCATACAATTGCAACAACTTAAATCTGTCTGAGGTATGGGTACACAAGCGGGTGCCGGCTGAGCAGACGCTGCTCTAACTACCCCACCTCTCATCGGAAATGCAGGGGAACGCAAACTCGAGACAGCCTGATCACAGCAACACACCAACCGCTCTCCTGGCATCCAGGAGCTCTCATATAGGCAAAAAAAAAAAAATCCACAAAAGGAAGGCCTTATTAGCTCAAGCACTACGGTACCTTAATGCTGCAATACAGCTTCCAGACTAAAGCTGGCTCATGACTGGTCAGCTGAGAGTACGGGGTAAATGAATGAATTCCAGTGTTTTTGCTTCACCCGATGTAAATATAGGTACAGACCCAAGCGCAGATGCTGAAGACAGCAGTTCTGTGATATCCAGTAACACTGAGAGGAAGCGAGCCTATATATGTTTACAAACGCTAAGTATACAGTGCAAAAGAGTTGTTTCATTTAATTTTAATGAGAATGGGATGTCAAAAAAACCAGTTCAGACCTGTCAAATGACTACAGCCACATAAAACGACTTGGTAAGACTTACTAGAAGCAAAATGTACTGTGAACATATTTCTGGAACACGGCATTATTTTAGGGAGCTGCCATACAGTTTTGGAGTAATAGTTACACACAGATTATTAGATATTAAAAAGTAATTTTACAATCAAACAATTTAACTATTTTCCACCATTCCACCACGAACATCATCTCATTTGATGTAACATATGATTTTTGTTTGGCACAGCAAGACATAAAAGAGAGATACCATCCTGTTACACAATCTACATTTCTTTTCCAGAAATTTATAGAACTTAAATATGTTGATGGTGAGAAAGCTCATTTACATTTGTTTTCTGAACTTAGGAACATGCTATTTAATGAATACAGCATTCTAAGACTACTTCAAAAGAATACAGTCCATTTACTCTGCATAACTGTTTGGCAGTTTGGTATTAAATTACAGTTTCTGCATCTAGAGGCTTGTTTGAAACTCTTATTCTGTGACACAGCAAGACAGACTTGTGGCTCTCACAGCATGACTGCTAGCCAGGAAAGGAATGGTACACAGCAGATAGTAATTAAAAGGAATATAAATTTATTCTGAAGGGTCCTTAGTTGTTTTTTTTTTTTTGAGAGTTGTGGGATTAATGACCAATCTATAGCCATTCTGTGCTCAAATATGACCTGAGACGGGAGGGTTGACAACCCCTTCTACTTTAGCTGCAGGTGCTGAGCACCTCCAACAGAAAAGGTAATAGAGCAGTCAGCGTATTGTTACTTATGATGCAGATCTCAAATGCACAGACACCAAGATAATGCCGTCTCTATCAAATCAGACACATTTGGTTCACAGTATAATTGATTAGTTTCCTCACTGCCTGCCCTGCAAACTCAACCCAAGTCATCTGTCACCATTATAAAATTAATTACCAAATTACCATGGCCAAATTAATTTGCTGGCAAAAGTTATGCAATCCAATTGAAGACATTTCATATACGTAATTACCTGGAACATCTCAAACAGAATAGCTGCTCATGCGAAAACAAGAACAGAGCCAGCTCACTCTGTTACGCAGCTGGTAGTGAAACACACTGATGTTTCAGGAGTGACAAGGTGGGAAAGAGAAGCAATGGTTTGAAATAGATGAACTGACATTGTTTGAAAAAAAAAAACCCCAAACTGACAAGATTTCAGGTGCACAGACTCTGAAGTCAAGCAGAGGTAACATATTTCAAGGTAAACCCAGCCTGGGTTTCTAAACTCAAATAAAACTCAGAAGCTATTCCCTTAACACCACAAGCTCTTGGCAGCTGGAGGCCTTCCCTTCCATCTGTGCTCTCATTTCATTCCAGAGCCAGGCAGAACCAGACTGTCACACCAGGCAAGTTTTTGCAGACAACACCTGCACCTCCTCAGGTGGGTCTCAGTTCAGCAGTTTTCAAACTTTTCAGATTGAGCCCCTTTTCTTTTCTGTAATAGTCTTCTCCAATCTGCTTACATACCCAGTCATATGCACAAAACACCTGCGCACCCTAACACAGTAATACAACTTACATTTGATCACTAATACATTCTCCCAGTTACTGTAGTCACGAAACTGTACATCTACTAAGGTAAGCAGGGTTTGACCCATGAAAGAAAAAGGTTTCTTCCTTGAAGTAAGACTGAAAACAAGTAGACTCTTTAGCGTAATGTGCAGGCATCAGCAACTTTGCGCTTGTGCAGAAAGGAAGCCTGTCCCCAGTACAATGCTACTGCAGTACTAGATTTATACAGAAATACTGGAAAACAGTCCTCTTAGGTCATCTAAGCTGTCATACTTACACACATATGTTGCCTGTAAAGTTAATGTGTGGACACCTGTGTGGTTTACACATCACAGCCACGACAGCAATCTGTAAGAAGCAGAGTTACAGAAGAGAAAAATTATAGTAATTGCTTCTGAAGTTACTAAAATAAAGTGCATCTTGGAAGGCTATGTATACATGCACATGTATTGGGTTTGCATGGCAAGGTTTTGGTAGCAGGGGGCCTACAAGGGTGGCTTCTGTGAGAAGATGCCAGAAGCTTCCCCCATGTCCAACAGAGCCAATGCCAGCCGGCTCCAAGACAGACCCGCTGCTGGCCAAGGCTGAGCCCGTCAGTGACAGTGGTAGCACCTCTGGGATAACAGATCTAAGAAGGGAAAAAAAGTTGCTGTGGAACAGAAACTGCAGCCGGAGAGAGGAGTGAGCATATGTGAGAGAAACAGCCCTGCAAACCCTCAGGTCAGTGCAGAAGGAGGGGAGGAGGTGCTCCAAGCACCAGAGCAGAGATTCCCCTGCAGCCCGTGGGGAAGACCATGGTGAGGCAGGCTGTCCCCCTGCAGCCCAGGGAGGTCCACGGTGGAGCAGATCTCCACCTGCAGCCTGGGGAGGATGCCACGCTGGAGCAGTTCGTGAAGGACTGCAGCCTGTTGGAGGGACTCACACTGGTGAAGTTCGTGGAGAACTGTCTCCAGTGGCAGGGACCCCACACCAGAGCAGGGGACAAGTGAGGAGTTCTCACCCTGAGGAGGAAGGAGTGGCAGAGACAATGTGTGATGAACTGACTGCAACCCCCATTCCCCATCCCCCTGTGCTGTCGGGGAGGAGGTAGAGAATTTAGGAGTGAAGCTGTGCCCGGGCAGAAGGGAGGGGTGGGGAGAAGGTGTTTTAAGATTTGGTTTTGTTTCTCATTACCCTGCTCTGGTCGATTGGTAATAAATGAAGTTAATTTTCCCCAAGTAGAGCCTATTTTGCCCGTGATGGTAATTAGTGAGTGATCTCTCCCTGTCCTTATCTTGAGCCATGAGCCTTTCCCTATATTTTCTCTCCCCTGACCAGCTGAGGACGGGAGTATTAGCACAGCTTTGGTGGGCACCTGGCATCCAGCCAGGGTCAACCCATCACAGCACACCTGCAAGAGACTATTTAAAGATGTTTTTTGCTTAGTCTGCCACCTAGAATATCTGTGTGTTAACCCTTGAAGGAGATAATGAATATATCAAGAAATAGGAATCCTATTATTTAATATTTTCACAATTCAGAAAAAAATGGCAGTCTACTATAAAGAACCAGGTGTCCTATACCAAATCTGATTAACCACCCTGCCAAAAAGATGCACACTGACATTCAGGTATTCACTAGGACCATCTAATATGTATCTAAAACAGCGCAAGGGTGAGAGTGTGCCACCAAGCATACCAAACACCACCTGGAAGATGAAAATGGGGAGAGATGAAGAGAAACAAAAAGATGTAAACCAAAGAAAATAAACATAGCTTCCTCCCTCCACCTAACTGAGACAAGCCTTTTTCCCCTGGCTGATCTCACAACTACTTTTCATGCACTAAATGCATGCATAACATAAGACACCATCTTCTTTTGTAAAAAGGACCAGAGGGAAGAAGATGCAGACACACCAAGATTTTCTAGTGTCCACTAAGTTGGGGCACCCAACTCAGAATACCTCATTTCCAGTTTTCCGATATCCTGGTTGGAGTAAGAGTTTAATGAGATATTCTATAGCCAGAAAGAAGAAATTAAAGAAATTAAGTGGGGGGGGTTGGGGGTGGGGGTTTTTTTGTGGTTTTGTTTGGGGTTTTTTGGGTGCGCTTTTTTTTTTTTTAAGTTATAAAAATGGAACACTTCCTGGTTTTTGGGTTTCTGGTTTTTTTTGTTTGGTTGGGGTTTTTTGTTAACTTGACTTTAGGCATGCTATACATACCGTAGGGAAGCTTAAAAACGCACAGCTCAATGTTAGTTGTACCTCTATTCCTGCTTTCAGCCTGAACCACCTTTCAAAGAAACAAGTTGAATACTAACATTTTACCTTTGTTCACTGAGAGGGCCTGCAGATTAAGCTGCACTGTTTCTACAGCAACTAAAAAACGAGACATGCTGCTCTGAAACAAAATCTCCACACTTCCTCTTTCTCTTCTCCCAAATGTTTTGAAAGCAATCGCCCTGTGGGCACAACATCACCGAAAAGGCAACCTGGAAGCTGGCAATGCAGCCAGTGCATCTATATTAAAGCTTGTGGACATTCAATACCCTGGTCTTTGAAAACAATTAAATACAATTTATTGGTGACAGCAGGGGAGGATGGTGGTGGATGGAAAGAATGATGTACGTGCTTACCCCGCTAGCAGTCCTTATAGGCTTGGCCTTCAGCTTTGGTACCAGAACCTTGCGGTACTGAGGTGGAACAGCCGCGATGATGTCAACCAAACGTGGCTGCGCTGAAAGCCCATACTTTGCTGACGTCTTGGTTTTCAGCCTGAAAGCAGAAATACCTCAAATTAACAACTGCATTCTGACTTGCATATCCATATTCCACAGCAGTGCTATTGTATTACTGTTCAGTTATACAGAGATCTATGTAGGCTGTCCCCGACTGCCTTTCCAGGTAACTTATTTAAACTTGCAACAGCTGCACTGTGTACTAATATACTGAAAATACACTCCAAATAATGCTGACATGCAACAACTACCAACGTTCTCAGTTTCTGTATGTTTTCCTTCTAAATATGGTTTTATCAAAACATTGTGAAAGCTGCTAACAGACCCTGGCTTACCCGTTTTCAGTAAATTATTTTCATGTCTTCTATGTGATTAACCCCTACACATGCAGACTCAAGCTAGTTCATTTCTAAGACATTCATGTCAGTTATTTCCAGCATCAGCAAAAAGTTTGCAATTATATCATATAAATGAAATAGCAACGGTGGGACAAACTCAGATTTTATTATTCCACATATGTAAAGAAGGAATAACTTTCTGTAAACAACTACTTCATTCGTAACACATTGCTAAGAAAATCTGATTTATCTTTATCCCTATATTAATCTCTCCTTTCCCTGCTGGAACTGACTTTGGGACTACTGAAGGATGAACACAGGTGGAAACACAAAAAGGCAATGACAAGTTTCTTACAGTTTTTCACCAATACAATCCATTTTGTACTCTCAGCATTGCCAATGAAGTAGCAAATCACCATAGAAAATACAGATCTTGGTGTCTTTATTATCAGATAAAGGTAAGAGAAATGACAGTAACCTGTGAAAATATAACATTTTAAAATAAAGCCTGAACATAAGACTGTACAGGACACGTTCATCACTGGTGGACCAGCTCTTCAGCATCATCCCAGAGCCACTTACTTGTTCAGATTCACATCTTTTCCCTGCTCATGAGCCTCAATTAATTGCTTTATGATGTCAGCTATCGTCATCATCATCAGCTCCGCATGGCTGAGATCTCCTGAAATGAGAACAAAACAACAAACCACATGTAGAGACAGTGCTTTCTAACTGCTTGTGACAACCTGCTCTGTAGTTCGTTTTTAGTATTTCCTACAGTTGTTGCCTACAGAGGGAATTTTGCCGCTGTGTTATCACTCGACTTGCAGCATTCCCCGAAAAAACGACAGTCACAGCCTTGTATTGCTGTTTTTCTCCTACTTCTAGGACAAACTCTGCCTTGCATCAAGGAAATCTGCGCAACAGCTAGAAATAAAAAGTCATTGGAAGTTAAAGATGGTTAGTAGAATAGTCTGACACTACCTGTACACGTGGCAAGGAACAGAACGCGTTCATGAGAAGGACAGTGGGGCAAGCTGAACGAAGAGGCCAGCTCTATGAACTCCCCTCCATCACAGAGGGGGTACACTACATTGGGCAGTGCTATCAGTGCCTTAAAGCTTCCCAGCTGCACCTCATACACCCACCCCATGCTGAACAAGGGTCCGCACTGCATAGACTGTATACATTGCTTACATTTCTTCCATATCAGCTTTGGGAGAAGAGGGGCATTGCTATTAAGAGAGATCCATCCATGCTTCCCAACAACAACATGCATTTATTTCACCTTGTGCAGCGCTGTCTACACCAACAAGTGTTGGGACAGCAAAATATACACAGCAAACTTATCAGAAAACCCACCAGCAGGGACATAGCTGGGTGCACAACCACTCCAATAAGCTTTTCTTCGTGCCAGCTGTGCTGAAATCTGGCAGCATCTACACCCACCTAGGAGAAGCACAGCAGTGATGCTCCCATCTGGTATCTCTTAGCAGGCAGTTTTGTGGGACAGAGCAGGCCACTGCTAGTCCCATGCTGCCCTGCACCATCTTTGCTGCCCCATATCCTTCCCCCAGTTTTTTTCTGCTCTGCCATAAGGGGAAAAAAACCACCAACACCCAGACTTCCCTGCCCCCAGCACCCCATTCTGCATCTGAGTCAGGAGCAAGGCAAACTCCTGAGCACCCACATGGGTGCAAAGGCTTCTGCCTCCCAGTGACAGCGCCCAATTCACCGCTGGGAAAAGAAAACGGGTGGCTCACAGAGGGGTGCCAAGTCCCTCCAAACCTCAAGCAAGGTCTGGGCTGGTCCTTCACCCACCTCCAAAGGAACACGGAGGGGGCAGAGCAAGGTCTTGTCTCGTCTTCCCACTCCACACACACACAGAGGGTTAGGGGAGGTGGTAAAGCCCTGCCACCCCACGGCTCCCACCCCCACAGGGCCGGGGGAAGCATGAGGAGGAGCCCTGCCCCGCAGCCCCCCCGGCCACACCCAAACACAAAGTAAAGCGTTGCCCCTCAGCCCCCCCTTACACACACACACACACACAAGGCCGGGAAAGGCAGCAAAACCCTGTCCCACCACCCTCAGCTCCTGGGAGAAGGGCAGGGTCCACCCTACGATCCCCCCCCTCCCCAGTACCTTTCCTCTTCTGCTTCATGCTGGCGGCTCCCCCTCAGCCACTCGGTGCCGTAAAGCGACACCGCCCCCTCACCGTCGTAAAAACGCCGCACCTCCAGCCGCGCTGCCGGAAAGCGGCAAGAGGACGGCGGGTGTTTGGGGGGAGCGGCGGTGTCACCGTACGGCGCATGCGCAGCACCGCCGGTGAGGTGGGGCGGTGCCTCCGCCGGCCGCCAGGGGGCGCCGTGAGGAGACAACCGCGGGGCGGGCGCGGCGCTCCTTCAGCGCTAGGTGGTAGCAAAGCGTCGGCGTGAGGAGAGGAAAATAAACTGGATTTTCCTGATAAAAGGCTAAAAAGTCCTTCCCCGAGAGGGCGTCGGAAGCCTGCGGGCTCCTGGGGAGCACAAAGGAGGGGAGCCGGGGGGGGGCTGAGGGGTTCTCTGTGGGGGGGGGCTGAGGGGTTCTCTGTGGGGGGAGGCTGAGGGAAAGGGGCTCGTTCGGCTGGGAATGGACCTGGACAGGAGGTAAGGGGCGTTAAGTTTTAAGGAGAGAGGTTCAAATTGGGCGTGAGGAGAAATTTCCTCATTGCCAGGCCGGCCAAGCATGCAGTGGGTTGCCCACAGTGGTTGTGTCATCTTTTTTGGAGGATTTGAAGAGCCGGCTGGATGAAGCCCTGAGCAACCTGGGCTGATCCCAGAGCTGACCCTGCTGGCAGCAGGAGGTCGGACCAGAGACCTGCTGGGGTCCCTTCCAGCCCTAATTCTCCCGTGGTCCTATGAAAGGAGCTCCAGATCCTTCCATGAATCTCCAGTGACTTCTAGAGCCCACATGAGAGTCAACATCTACCACTTCTCCAGGCAGGGAGTTCCACGGCTGAATTACATCTGGCGTGGGGAACTGTCTGCTTTTGTTTCTCTGTTGCTGTTGGCAGAGCCTCGCTGGTGCCGCCAGCTCCCGACTCTCCTTGCTGGTGGCATCCTAGTCAACCCGTAGATGCTAGTGGATCTCTCTGAGTAACATGAACCAAGCAGTGAGCAGAGGGGAGAGGCTGCCTGGACAAGAAAACAGGACTGTGGAGGAGGAAAGAACAGGCAGAAAGGAAAAACAGGCCACCAAAAAGAGAAAAAAAACCACCACCAAATGACAGGAAAAAATGAAGAGAGATGCTGGCAACTGCTGAGTGACACGGTTTTATGATTTACCCCCCTGGAGTTCTGCGTTCAGCTCTGGGGCCTCCAACATAAGAAGGACATGGACCTGTTGGAGCGGGTCCAGAGGAGGGACACAAAAATAATCCAAGGGCTGAAGCACCTCTGCTATGAGGACAGGCTGAGAGAGTTGGGGTTGTTCAGCTTGGAGAAGAGAAGGCTCCGGGGAGACCTTCTAGTAGCCTTCCAGTACCTAAAGGGGGCCTACAGGAAAGCCAGAGAGGGACTTCTACAAGGGCATGTAGTGATAGGACAAGGGGTAGTGGCTTTAATCTGAAAGAGGGTAGATTTAGATCAGATGTGAGGAAGTTCTTCACTGTGAGTGTGGTTTGACTGGAACAGGTTGCCCAGAGAGGTTGTGGATGCCCCATCCCTGGAAGTGTTCAAGGTCAGGTTGGATGGGGCTTTGAGCAACCTGGGCTAGTGGAAGATGCCGCTGCCCATGGCAGGGGGCTTGGAACTAGATGATCTTTACGGTCCCTTCCAGCCCAAACCATTCTGTGATTCTATGATTTATGGGCTGGTAAAAACCTTTTTTTGAAAACCTTCTGACTGACGGCTGACCCAAAGATTTTTGGCATCAGGCTTACGACCGGTGTGGGCCTGGGGACTGAAGGGTCAGCAGGGTTTGCAGGGAGGGAAGAGGGCACGTGGAAGGAGCCGCAGGCCGGCTGTTCCCGCTGTGCAGGTTGGTTTATAAAGCAACCGGAGCCTGCACTGGTGCCTGAGGTCAGCACGCACAGCCTGGCAGGCACCTTGTACGAGGGTGTATGTGTGTGTGCACGTGTTGTGAGACCATCCTGCCTTCCCCACCTTGCTGGGTGGGTTTGGCAGCATCCTGCCTATACAAAGCAAGATCCCAGGATGAAACAGGTTGAAAACATGGTTTAGACCATCTGCTCCCGTCGCTACCTCTCTCCTGCCTTCAGGGCTTTTTGGAGAGCTGAATTCAGCTTCCTTCCTACAGGATGTGCTGGGAGTGCCCTGCAATGTCTGGACCTGTCCCTACCTGTGATTTTTTCTCCCCAGGGGTCTCCCAAGCATCCTGTGCCAACCAGCAATTTATCCATGGTTCAGAGAGTGGTTGTGCTCAGGATACGGGCTGCACAAACAGTAACAAAGCATCTATCCAGACATGCATCTTCTGCCATCAACTTTCTCAAACCTATTGCAGCAGCTGCTGTGCAGGAAAGGACATTTCAGATGTGGCCACGCAGTCAAGGGTTGTCTGTGTGTCTCGCCGTGCCCTGCTTTGGGCTGGCTGGGGTATGAAAGCAATCCCTTCCCCTGAATTATTTGGTGGCACACATACTACACAGCATCCATCTGGAGGATGTCGTCATTGTGGGAATGGCACAGAGCACAGGACAGGTAGGATGCCCGTGCGAGACACCCGATAAGGCGATCAGTCTATCCACACCCCCTTAAACACAACCCTACACACCATGTCATTGCCTCCTCATCCCCTTAGCCTTTCGTTACGTGAGCCGAGCTGTGCTTTCCATTTGTTATCAGCTTCATCCACCTAACACAGCAACTTTTTATCTTACATTTAGCTACTATCATTAGCTGCTTTCCCTTTGCCGCAAGGTCTCCATGCTTTTCGGTAACCATCCTTTAACCTATTATAACCCCGATGCCGCTGCTGAGACTTTGCTCTCTGAATGGTCACTCTTCTCTGACAACAGCTCACGTTTGCTCTTCTTCCATCTTGCCACACAAGTTGGACGTTTCCAACAATCCTCAGTTTTAATCCAACCGTGCTCCCACCTGCAACTCCCCATCAACTTCAGTTACACACACTCCTTTTCCCATGTTTCTGTTTCTGTAGCTCAGGAGAGCGATAATTAGGATAACTTCATTTTGGCTACAAAGCCAAACTACAGTACCAACCTCTGCCATTGCTCCCGGCAAGGAACACCAGGTAAATGCAGGTGGAGTTTTGGGCAGAAACGGATGGTAAAGCTTAGGTAAGAGGGCGGCTGGCATGTTTGGGTTTGTTCCCCACATCTGAGCAGGGCTGTAGCCTAGGGCTCACATTCTGATCTTGCTTGTACTGGTGGAATTCAGATGCAGCAATGCTGATTCATTGGCCTCTGGGGTTTAAAAGGTACTTTCAGTTCTTTAATCAAAGGCTGTGGCTAATGAGAGTTGTGCAGGATCTGGAAATGCCGAGCAGTGCAGGGAAATGCACATCTACAAGGAAAGGCGAAGGCATAACAACCTTCCTCTGTACTTGTTTAGCAATTTCTTATCAGCGTATCTGGAAGCGCACTATAAAGGTGGGTAAATAACCATCTGCCTCTGCAGATCAGCAGCCCGGGGCGCAGACAGTGATACAGCTTGCCTGAGGCCAGCCAGCAGCTCAGTGGCAGAGGCAGGTGATGGAGACTCTGTCTCTCTGTATCTTTTGTGTCCTTTTCAGATTCTGACCCATTTCACGACCTCAGGAATGATTGTAAAGTATGTTTTAAGTACACATATTTTTATTCTAATAACATAATTGGTAGGAGTTACATCAAGGCGTTACGTAGGTCTGCTGTTACTTCAAAGATAGACTACTTGGCTTGGTACGTTCCTGGACATCACTGTTAGTTATTTTACAGCATCATAAATACAAAAACTTTGTAAATCAGAGAAGGCCTAAGTCTTAAAATGTATAGTGAGTACTTAAGATGCATGATCTGGTGCAGTGAAGGCACAGTGTCTGCAGTAATGCCCAAGCACTCAGCTCCAAAACCAGTCAGACCCTGGGAACTTTATGTTTCTGCTGAGTATGCTCATTGGTGAGATAAGAAAAACCATTGCTGCAGGGTTCCATCATTTCCTTGCACAGCCATTTGCTGTTTGTAACACAGACCTAGCGCTGAACTGCTGCCACGAGAAGCTACAGGCTGCCTAATGGAGACAAAGAAAAAGCTGGAACAAGAGTTTGGACTTAAGAAGCCAAGGAAACACCCATGAAGCAATCAGTTTAACTTGGTTTCCTGGGGGAAAAGGCTTGTGAGGAGAGATTTGCAATACCAGGGAATGATGCTGATGAATGTTTTGGATGTGATTTACCCCACCTGACTTTAAATGCTCAAAAGTTAGCTTTCTTAATCGAAATTAGTCAGTCTAGTCTCTTGCATAATCAACAGATCCTAAGATATATGAGCTAATTGCCATCTGCAAGTTCCTCTTTCAGCTGATAGCTTGAGAGATGACTAGCTTAGACTTAACTAGCTCTTAGGCCATTGTGTTGGTTGAGAAGAACTCCCCCTGCCAAGCATCCAGGGCAGCTAGAAAAAATGAAGGAACAACTTCTGGGAGAGGGAGATGCACTGAGTTACCCAATTGATTCGGAGCTGTAATTCATATGGCACTCAACCAAGTACCCCAATGGGCTGAGTCCCCTGCTGGATGGTCTCCCTTCAGGTAAGATCCGTGGTACATCGTGCCTGGTGCCTGGTCTTGACAATGGTCAATGTCTTTCACGCCAAAAAACTTGAAACCCTCAAGTGACACAGTGCAGAATAATCTGCTCACAGAGCAGAAGTCTTCTTCTAATCCCTGTCAATCAGTAGTTGGCATTTTCTCTGAAACATGATTTCTAGTCTATAAATGTTGAGAATTCATGGGCATGCTGTGTCTCTTCCTAAACTGTGGAAAGGATCGGTTTTATCCCAGCTCTCTCAGTCTGGGTTATGGTAAGGCAACAAGTTACAGTTGCTATACATTCAGTCCGCTTATCCTTAAAAACTGCTATTCATTACGTTTACTGGATATTTCCTTAATTGTGGAAAAGACAAATAAAAGCACATGATTTACATTCTCTTAAATAAGTAGACTAGTGCCAGCTCTCCACACAGAGCCATGTGCAATGCTGCAATC